GAGTTTGTTTTACAGAATGAAATGTCTGAATGAGTGCTCATCCAAGACTGGTGATTCATACTTTTTGCCAGGGGTTGTAGTATTGTTCTTTTCCCTCAAACTGCTGGCGTCTTATCGACAACAAGCAGAACCCTCTCCAAACTTCGACTCTTATTTTTCTGCTTTGTAGCGTGAGATTCAGCACTGCAGGAATCTGGAGGCTTCACGTTTCAACACCTTCCCTTCCCTTCCTGAAGTCACTGTATTTTGGCTGTGAGGAGTGTATTTGAGGTGAATGAATACAGTCTTATCGCCCAGCACCAGGTTACCTCCATTTCCTCTGCCTCTGTTTTCTTGTCTCCGTTGTCTCCGTCCTTGGGTTTCTGATCGTCCTGGTCCACCTGCATTTTGTTCTGACACATGGCAACAGAAGAAAGCATATACAGAAATTATATTAAWGGTGACAAAATGCTGCCGTGTGGATGATTTTATTTATCTACCCAGGACTTTTTCAGAAAGAAAACAAGGAGAAACGTGTTTGTTTTGACTTCGCCAAAATGAAAAAATAGATCAAAAGAAAATTAACAGGCTTTCCAACAATATAGGATTTATAGCCAAGAAGAATTTTTACAAGTAAATAATCTACCAAACCAAATTTTCTTACYTTTTCAGCCCAGTATTTTTTTTCGTCCACAATTCATAAGAAGTTGTTGAGCAGATTTTATTTTCTGATGCTGATAAATATTTAGAATCTGTCAATCTAAAACAATTTTCTTATAAATTCTGGACAAATCTTTTCGTTTTTAGTTTTAAATATTATTCTGGGAATAAATGATTGCAAATATATAAGTGCAGATGGTGCAAATGACTYAAAAAGAAATGATCAGACACTTTAAAGCCGTCTAGCTGAGGTAGAACACTATTTAGTTATTTATCCAACAATAAAACTCTAAAATTATGTCAAAAGAAAAAACACAAATCCATCCGCTTCTCTTTACCTCCTCTTCCTTCACTGTCTGGTCCGTCTCCATTGGCTCCTCCCCCTCAGCTACTTTCACAATCTCTACTAGCGAAGCGCTCGACACGCTGAACACACCGTGGACGTTGACGCGCACTTTCACCTTAACCTTGGTGCTCTCGCCTGACGCCTGTGGAACGACGTTCTGAACCAAGAACTGACCTGCAGGGCAGAGGGGAGGCATCTAAGTGAGGCAATGGGGGCAAAATCTGCATTTGTATCATCGTTACACACAACATTCGATGAAATCAGAGGACAGAAGAACACTTCTAGCATGGTTTGAAGCTGAAAATCAAGTACCTATAGTGACATTGGGGTAGGGTATCTCCTTGGGATTAGTGTAGTAGGCTTCAAGGGTGAAGGGCTCCTTCCGGTAAAAGGTCAGCACTTTAGAAAAAGGAGCTGGGTGGTTCTTTGGGAAAACCTCACAATCACTGAAACAGAACAAAGAGACGTGCAAGACATGTAAAATTAAACTAATAGGGATTACATGAGCGATGTGCATCTTCAAAGAACAGACAAAAAGGTAATATGGCCTCGTACAGCCCAATCAATCTGCTGTATGGAAATACTTTATACCACACACTTAAAATCTTCTTTCAAGTGGACTCATTTTAGAAAGACTACAACTCTAAAATGGTTGGTTTAAAAAAAAAAACAAGATTCAACAGGTGCCATTATTAACATCCAGTGTGAACACACTGGATTTGGCAGAAAAACAAGGCAGGTCTGGAACCAAACGGCAATTTTTTTACCGTGTTAAACACACAGTAACAGGAACATCTCAGGGAAGAGTTTATATTTAAATTAACTCATTCTGAATGAGCTACTTGAACAAAAACCCCTTGTAATGTTTTAATGATTACTTTAACAGCTACAAGAAATAAAGTCTTAATTCTCCAGGAATGAAGAGTTGTGCCTGGACATGTTCTAGCTGTCCTGCAGTAACGGCAATAACAATTTTTATTTAATTTATTTATTCAATAGTTTTATTCATTTCGATTAAAAACAAAAATTTCAGTACAACAACAAAAAAAGAAACACAAATCTCATAAAATGAAAGGAAGCAGATGAAGAAAAGAATCGTATTTATCAAAAAAAAAAGAATAAAAATAAAAATATATACACATTTATATGTGCACACATACACACATTCATATATACATTCATATACACATGCACACATATAATTTTACACCAAACAATCATACCTCAGACCGTCCTCTGCAGCTGAATTCCACTTTAGAGAAATGGAGTAAGGGACGACGTCTGTGATGGAGAACTCTCTCACTTTAAACGCTGGTGACAAGATAGCACACTGAGGAGAGACGAGATAAACACCAAACATGTTTAAAAAAAAACTAAAACTTTTTATTAGCTGTTACTGATCAGATTAAATAAAAACATTAATAAATAAACAAAAGGATACCACATCCATCTTATTTAGGCAACTCTGTATCACACATCAAAAAGATGTTTTTTATTTTATAAAAGCCTAATTTGAAGCCCTTCAAATACTATAAATAAATAAATTATAATTTTCAAAATAAAGATAATTGTTTTTTTCTGCACGTCATATAATAATAAAAAATTTATAAATAAAACAGTATGCATTATATTCCTCTAAAGCACTCGTCAAACTCCCGTCTAGCCCGTCAAAAACAAACAACAAAAACATCTTTTTTTTTTTACTTAATATGATTTTTTTTTATATCGGTGGCAAATTTTAAAGTTATGACTCAATGCAACAAAATAAACTAATTTAAAAGGTGAAAGATAATAATAGTTGTCCTGTCCCAGAGCTGTTGGCTAACCGAGCAGCACAGGATTAAATAAGCTGCTTTAAGCATAAAATACATGTCCCATCCATGGGAATTCCCTGTTGGAGAGTGAGTAAAACTCTCTTACTTTTAGTTTTAATAATAATTCTGTTTTATTTATTTCCCATTTAGCCTGCTGTACTTTTCCGTGTTTATAAGAGGATGTGTTAAAACGCTGTTTCTATGCAGGAAATACCAGGTGGAGCCCAGTTGTTTGTTTGTTAGCGGTGCTCAGTCGTAGCAATGAGATGAGGAACGTGTTTAGTCGAAGTTAAACACTAAACGTCAAAGTTAATTACAACTAGCCCTTTCAGGGGCCACCATAACGCTCATGTGGCCCTCAGTGAAAATGAGTTTGACACCCCCGCTCTAAAGAATAATAAAACAGCAAAATGTTTTGGTTGCAACAGGTGAGCTGTACCTGCAGAGCACAGCCCCTGGCCACAGCCTCGTCCGCATTTAGAGTCGTGCTCAGCTCTTTGCCGAAGAATTTGCCGATTCGCTCTTTGACAGCGGGGATCCTGGAGGCTCCGCCTACTATCTCCACTGCGTATACGTCTTCCTTTCTCAACTCTGGATACAGACAGGCAGGAAGGCAAAGATGAAAAGATAGGCTTGGTRAATATTCAAAAGGCAAAATATCACTTTTTAGGGCTCTCTAAAAAAATAGTCAAGTTTGTCTAAGTAAACTACATGTCAATAAAAGTGTGCACATCCTGATGAGGATGACCCAGCTGTTGTTAAAGTCGTACTCACTGGCTTGTTCCATGACGCTACGCAGRGGACCCTCAACTTTGGCCAGCAGCCCCGCACACATCTCTTCAAACTGACCTCTGGAAACCAAATTATAAAATATTAATTATAGAGACAGACGTTGCATGTGTAGTCAAACATCACAACAGAGGCAGAGAAGGCAGAAAGCCCCTTTGATCGGCTGCTTTTTTGACATTTAAAACAACCTCATAGACTATTTAGAGATATAACAACCTCTTGTTAACTCATTTTTACCCAACTCTACTTGAAGTTACACACTATTTCAGTACAGGTCAGATTTTAGTCCATTATTTAGAAATCCTGTCTCACCTGTTCAGTTTTCCAGAAACATCGATATCGTTCATGAAACATTCGATGTTGAGGGGCAGATCGGACGAGTTGGCGCTCATCAGCTTCTTCAGCTTCTCACACTCTTGATAAAGCCGCACCAACGCTCGAGGTTTGGACCTGACGTCCAGTTTGTAGTTCTTCGCAAACTCCTGGCAGAAGTGGTTTACTAGGATRTCATCAAAGTCCTTCCCTCCAAGGTCTGGATCAAAAGCTGTAGCCAGAATCTTATAGTAAGGACAGAGAAGGAATTAATGGATAAGAAAAGACTGCAAAATGATTTTAACTTATTGAAATGTTTGTTAAATTATTTCATTACGAACTGTCACATTATTTAAGGAGGCAAAGAAAACAGTAACATGTGTTAAACATGTGTAAACAGCAATTAAGTGCTTTTGATTGACATTTTCCTTTGTTGCAGCACAAGCATAAAAAAAATCAATCTGTGGCAGACTTCAGAAGGGTTTATAMTGGGGTYRGGCAAAATCACATCATGTGCAATAAATGGCAGAAGAACTGTCAACAAATATTTGACACTTTGCGATTACTGTGATTAGTAGCGTATAAATCACTGTAGCACGAAGCTAATGTTAATGCCACGCTAAGTCAGAGCTAACCCCAGTGCTAATACAGAACCAACACAGAGTTAATGTTATTGCTAACACAGAGCTAACACTAATRCAGACCTAACTCTAATGCTAATGTAGAGCTAACACTAAYTAAGTCTGCCACAAATRAWTATTTTTRTAGTCGATTAATCACCGATTATTTTTTTYGATTAGTCRACTAATCAGATCATACGTTAATTGAATATWAAACATAYAGCTTATCACACCAGAATGCAGCTGCTWTTATATAACCATCGTTAYATTTTAGCTATATGCTAACTAAAAATAATTCATGTGGAAGGCAGGTTCTGTCTTGCAGATATTACACAGGTTTCTCTTTCATTTTCTTAAAAAGATCCCACACATTTGAGCTCCGTWGTCRGGTAGCCATGATACCAGAGCCTGTCTGTATAATGTCTTGTGACGTCCACAGCCTACCCCAGTTACCCCTACTATGCATGTGTKTCAAGGACAGAAAGGTAGATGTGGCAGTGGAAGGTGTCAAAGCAGTTTAGAGAGGAAAAACAAAGTAAACAAAAAACAAACAAAAAAAACTGATTATTAAATTAGTCATCGACTAATCGCAGCAGCCCTAACACTAATGCAAAGCTAACCTGAAGCTAACACTAATGCAACACTAATGCTAACGCGGAGCCAACAGTAATGCTACGTGTTTAACCACCTAAAACACCACCATAAACCAGAGAAAAGCCATAAGATTTGCCACAATGTCAGCTACAACAAAAGCTCCTCCAGTGAATGGTAGAAACAAATCTACTCAGTCACTCTGTCCTATACAACCAGCAAAGAGCTGGAAGGAGATGATGCAGGACTGTTAAAATGAAGACATTAGTTTGACTGATGGGTTATAATTTTAAAACACAGTGTAACTGATTTATAGTTAAAATTATTACAGGTGTAATTGTCATCCATTAAACGACATATTCATCATCGGTTAAACACCATAATTAATCGTGATGTTACTCCATCTTACAGAATTTTAAGCTGACCAGAACACCTCAGAATTTATTTTTAAWCCACATAAATGGTGCATTACTCACCTTGAGTTTTCCCTTGTTGAAGGCACAAGCAGACACTTGGAAACCAGAGTGGCCCAGGTCCACAAACACAACTATCCTGGGCTTTTCCTCTGGACCTGGAAGGTCCTGTTTGTAKATCCCATATGCCAGAGTCACTGTAACACACAAAGAAACAAATTCTCTTTTTTTCCAGTTGTTTTTGTTCAATCCACCCAAGTAACATCGAAGTTTGCTGACTTCTGTGCTTTACCGAAATAAACTGGGTTTTGAACAGTTGATACGACCAAATATATGCAGAAAAAAAATCTAGGCAAATAACTGAAGCACAGGCTATTTTAGATGCTCATTTATTTACAAACCAGTACACAAAGCCAAGCTGTGGCAAGTCTCTGAAAACATGCTCTAGCACAAATGTGACATTTAGGTGGATTTACAGCTACAGCATGACTCAAAGCTGGACATACCTCAGCACGAACGTATAKCTCTTTAAATAAACACACTGCGTCAGGAGATTTGAAAAACACGGTTCTATCAAGTGTCATCGATTTTACTTTAGCATCGGAACAGTGCTTCAGCAGCTAAAGAGCTAAACCGATAAACGAAGGGAAAAAGATTGATTTTTTTTTAGTAGTGTGTTTCTACGTACCTGCAGTGGTATCATTCATTAGTCGTAGACAGTTAAGGCCTGCGATCTGAGCTGCATCCATGACGGACCTCCTCTCTGCATCAGTGAAATAACTTGGTACCTGGAATGGGAAAAAGGTGTTAAAAAGCACCAAAACAAAAAGTTTCAAATGAATACATTAGAATTTAATACGTCTAAAAGCAAACAAACTAAATTTTTCCTATGTTCTAAAGTTGGGAACAATTTTTACATTATGCTTTGAAAAATGTCTGGAAAAGGCCACCATATCGGTGAGTCTAGATACAAAAACAAAACGTCTCCTAGTGGAAAAGTTCAAGTGCTAAATTTAGCTACAGGCCACAGTAATAACAAGTTATCCATCATTAGAGCTGAGGTAAACTGTAAATTTAGGCTCAGAGAAAGTAATAGCCCCTCCGCGTTGGATCTATAACATTACATAACAGGTGCTGAGCTCCAACACTTCCCACTCTCCACCAACAAGGTGTAAGGGAGGAAATAAAGCTTGAAGACAAAGACACCTGGTGAACAGATTAAAGCTGGAAATGACACGTTTAACAGGTATGTAGCATAGTACGCTACATACATACATAGTCTGGGAACAGGAGGAAATGATCAGCTCTTAAAGTCAAAAAAATTATAAATAATTACACAGAAACAATCTCAAAACCATAGTTTCCAAACTCCACGCTGCTGCGCTGACACTTACCGAGATGACGCAGTCGACAACTGGTTTCTTCAGCGCACTTTCAGCAGTTTCTTTCAGTTTGGTCAGCAACATGCCAGACACCTGCTCGATGCTAAATATTCGTTCTTCATCCATGTACATCACCTGGAATTGGTGAGAATGGAGAAAGTTGTGTTTATTTTTCCATTGATCACAMAAAAATAATAATAACTGAAAGGTATTATAGTAAAACACCCACAAGACTTCTTCAGAATTGTGGAAAAGTGTGAAAAATGTTAATCTAACATGTGTTTAGTAAAATGTCTGATTTAGTTGGAAACATGTCTCTGAGAGCACAACTTCTACTTTCAGATAATTCTTAGCTTTACAATAATTATACTCACTGGATCATTAAAAAGTAGACAGTGTTTGCAATGTGTTTAAGTATAATCCTTACTTTTATACCAGTGGCTCCAGAAGGCATCGGTGCCAAGTCATACACCAAGTTTGACTTGACTGACTGAACATACGGGTCTGAGAACGGTCTGCCATGAAAGCGTTTGAAGCCCTGCACTGTGTTCTTTTGGTTGGTTACCACCTGAGAACAAYGATAGAGCAAATTTGTTTAAAACAAATTTACATTTTGTGCATTGAATAGTTTTTGATWGAACAGAAACATAAATAACAAGTACGCTAATTAACTTTTACCTGACTCTTCGCAGCAGCTCCAATGGATCGATTCCGTGGCCCAAATGATACAAATGACCTGGAAAATAAATAAACGAAGATCACAAAAAAAGTTAGACAAATTGTTTAGGTTAATCTCACCATGCATCTAATTTGTAAATGAATGCCTAATTTGTAGGGGCGTAAGAAAATATCGATACACTGAAATATCGCGATATTTAATTTCCCGATACTGAATCGATATTCTAAAGCCCTGTGTCAATTTTTAATTAAGGCTTAAAACGTCAACTTTCCTGCCAGCCGTTCATTTTTATGTTGTAGTTCAGCCTTTGACCACAAATGGCAGCAGTGAGCCAGMCATTTGGCTACTCTACCTGTTGAGCGCCAGAAATTAAGGGTAGCATTAGCATTGTGAGTAAACATTAGCTTCATGCTCCGATAGCTGAATCTGAGCGGAAAAGACCGACTCTCTGCCTTCTAAGCTGAGGTAAGGTTACAAACAGTTACTTATTTGTCAGAACGTCTGTATTTTAAGACAGATTAAGTGTCTCGTGCGCTCTGTTTTCCAACTGTAGTCAGCCTTCACGTTACGCATATAGCGCATGCGTCTAGCACCTCRAGCGAGCTCGGCATCCCCACCCGTGACATAAAACTCTGTCTGTTGCTCTCAATGTCCGGCTGATCGCATCAAAATCCATATACTTTAAGTTTATCCTGCTGTGTTTGCTTCAAAAATGGTTTAACTGTGTTGTTTAGGTTCTCCAATTATTTACTGTTTATTTTCAGGACCTGCCCTGCTGTTCGACCCACAGTTATACAAATCATGTTCTGGATGCAGGTCAGCTGATCCCAGAAACTCTGTGTGCAGCAGCTATAATATCATCTGTTTACTGAACTTTATA